CAGTTCCCACCACGAGCAAGCATTCATATTGGGACATAACCACTAAATAGTTACACATCCCCTAAGGTAATGTAAATCTTAAAATGTCACACATTTATACTCACTGATGGTAAAACAGCTGTTTTTCTGACACACAACATCTTGTGTGTCGCACAACTCTTAAACCCACCCTGTATTTATGCATTACATTAATGCACTTCTGTTGTTTTTTTTATGTTGCACATTGCAAATATAATTATATGTCACACAATTTCTGTACAGCTCTTTACTCATTTATTTAAGTATCCAGCCATTTTGTACATATTCTCTCACTCTTTATATTTGTATATAGTTGCTCCTTTTTATTGTCTCTATTTTTTATCTTTATTTACATTTTTCTATGATTAATTGTAATTCTTATGCACCCATGTAACTTGTATATGAAAACATACTTGGCAATAAACCTGATTCTGATTCTGATTCTGATTTTGCGACTCAGTAATCTAATAGACACCCAATTTATTGACATGATATTTTATTATCGATCTAACTTACTACAATGTGCTACAATGCCATGTGGCTCATGCCATCCAGAAAGCTAATGCGCATGGTAACCATGACAATGAATCTTTTATTGCTGGTTTTACATTTGCTGAGCCTCCATTGTCAATTTTATGCCACAACTTAGAAGGGAACATAGACATAGCAGCTCTCTAGAAATGGGAGCTGAAGAGAGAGAGAGAAAAGGATAACAATGGGACAACATGTAACATGTTAAGGTCCCAAGTTATGCGTCTTAGACCACCGTGCCATCGGGATGCCCCATGGAATATCTGTTACAGTAGAATGCTAAAATATCAATATAAATAATTGTACAGCAACAATTCAATTGCACCAAATCTAACCAAGCTTCATAAACTGTGGCCACAGGCTAGTAGTCTACAGTGTTCTGTGAGTTGGTTTTATACTAATATTTTTATTTGAATTCTATAACACTTTTGTGATGTTAAAATTCTACAATTAGTTTCTGTAAAGGGCCATACCAGTATGTATGTTTTAGACAGTTACTACAAGTATTTACATGAAATAGATTTAGGAACACCTCAATAAACTGTCTACAGCTAGTGGCATGTCTTAATCTTACGGTGCTGTTAATCAAGTGCATACATCTAAAAGGGTGGCACATAGGAGAAGGCAAACTTCTACCATGTGCTCAGTAGGTCTTGAACTTGTGCATGCATATGTCTAAAATGTTGGGTCTAGAACTGGGGGGTCTCTCAGCTCCACAGGCAGGGGGGGCATCTAGAGGCATCTCTTATTCCACCTTTAGATATTTATATTCAATGCTCTACTATGTGCCACAATATTGTAATGATTTTGAGTTAAAACTATCTTCATTTGGAGCTTTTTCAAACAAATGTGTACAGAACAGGTACATTTTGAACAGGCATTGCACTGCACTAAAAAACAGACAAAATATGTAATGTAACAATGAAATTATGAAACAATCAAATAAACACTCAGCTCAGTATTATGAAATGTATTGAAAGAGTATTTCAGCTTTTTTTTGTTTCTTTTTTGTGGTTGGTGTTAATCCCTCCTTTTTCAGGTAAGCTTTTAATTTGAAAAAAACAAACAAAACAGGAAGTGTTGAGTTTATGGTTGGTTAACATCGAGAGCAATCAAAACAAATAATTAAGAAAAGGCCTTTATGGGCAACCAGTCTTTATCAGTTCATCCTGTCAGCTGTTTTTGAGTTGATCTGAATACTGGCCTTTTATATGAGAATGTACTTGGAGTACTCCAAGTCAGTAGAATCGCTAGAGAAATGAAGTCCAACTATAAAAATAAATGAAGAGAAAATGATAAATGATAAATATAATGACCTTTTAGTCTGGTTTGGGTAATGATCTGTATTTTATTTGGACATTAAGGAATGTGGAAAAAATCAGCATGAAATAACATTTCATAATGCAGAGCTGAGTTTGGATTATTTCATTGATAATAAACAATTTGGCTTTCAGAGCATGGATACCTATTCTACATTATTGTGCTGTCAAACGAAACCAGTGCGTTTATAATTCTCCATTTTCAAGGTGCAACAAAACAGTAAAGCACAGATCAGCACCCCACAACAGGAAAGTCCATATATAGATCATGTAGCCAACAATTCCAGGTTTCTCCATGGCAACCATCCACTCATCCCAGAATAGCAGCCTAGCCTAGCTGGTATGAACAGCCACACATTATGCCTCTTTTGGTTCGAGCAATGTAATATGACAGCATAAAGGCAGAGCTTATGAGAACAGAAAGAAAAAATATTCTTGTTTTGCCGCTGCTGTCTAATATTCTCTGTTACCATAACACAAACAACAGGTACTTATGCTGCCTAATGTCCAAACACATCCATCTGTATACAGACTCATAACCAAAACCAGACTAAATTTCTACTCCTTTCAGGGCCTAAAGGAGTGATAGAATCTGAAAATACCTCCAATTATAGAGCTGTGTGCAGTTTATGGGTAACAATACAGGACAGGATGAACATTATATTGTAAAGGTTTTTAAAGCTTCCATCATGTACAATCATCCTCTGCATGTTACAAAATGTCAGCAACTGCCCTGTATGGAAATGTCTGACTGATAATATGGCAAAGGGACCTGGGCAGTGAGCTTGACAAAGATGTCTGAGAATATTGTCCACAACATGAGTTGGACAGTTAGATAGTAAATTTAGATCATAAAATAATTCACAGATACTCCTGGACTCCAGTCAGCCTTAAACAACTTGGTATAAGTAGAAGCAAGGAGTGCTGTAAATGTAAGAGATCTGTGAGTATTTTTCTACATTTCATGTGGGATTGTCCACTGGTCTCCCCATTTTCCCCCAGAGTGGTTGGGGCCCTTCTGTTCACATCGGTTTTACCAGCTGGACAGTTTGGGTTAAATCTATGTCAGTCTAAAGACTGGATTGAATTCATGACTGTTACAGCCTCATACTCTGTGGTAGCTACCCCACATCTCAGTGAATTTGGATCACTGAGATGTGGGGTAGCTACCTCAGATGTTGAGGCTCATTTAAATGCAATATGTCATAGAAAGCTGTAATGTATGTCGTGCTGTGATGTTTGCTCAGTTTTCATTTTATTTGGGGGTTTTTGTGTGTGTATCTTGTTGCCTGTGGACCACCAAGTGAAAGATATGTGTTGTACTGTCATATTGCAGGATGTTTAAGAAATACAATAAATAAAAAATATAAATGACCAAAAATCAAAGACTAAAAGGTAATAGTTTAGTTTTTGCAAGTTCTCTCACGGCTGCCTCATGAAACGTCTTCAACTTTCATCCCACTAGTGATGGCACTGAGTATTGTAATTTCTAATGTAAAAACCAGTATTCAAGCAATGTCATCTTAATAACTGGCCAGTGGCTAATAAGGTACAGTATAAAACCTTGAGGAGGGGTGAATTTACCTTAAAACCTTTTTTTTTATTTTATTTTTTTTTTAAATAAATTAAAAAAGAATTACATCATAACAACAACATTCTAATGCTGTTTGGTGTCAGACTTTGTTGCCAGTTATATTGAAGCCTATACGAGATGCATGGAGAAGAACACTAAAATTAGCTTCCTGGCTCCCTATAAAATTCAGAATATAATTTTAAAGTATAATTTTAAAAATCCTCCTCACCTACAAAGCTCTTCAAGGTCAGGCACCTTCATATCTTAAAGAATTGTGCTTCCTATAGTCTCCAAAAGTAGAACAGGAGCCAGAGCCTTCAGCTACCAAGCTCCTCTCCTGTGGAACCAGCTTCCAGTTTTGGTTCGGGAGGCAGACACCCTCTCCACATTTAAGAGTAGGCTTAAGACTT